ATGTTTAAATGTACAAATAATGATAAAGTTTATATTTATTGGAAATTGACAAATTTTATTCTCTAGCAACTTTGAAAAAGTAGAATGTAGTAGTACTATAACATTTTCACACAATCAATACGCTCTATCCTTCGTTTTTTCTAAACTACAAATAAATTCATTAATTACCTATGCACATAACACTTTTTTTTTTAAAAATCTAAATCACAACTTTCAAGTGTATAATAAGTTCAAAAACAATAAATGAAAGAAAGAACAATGAAAAAAATGACTTGAATATGAATCTAAAACTTATCAAGAGAGAAAGATGTGATTCGGGTAGAAATTGGCAGACTAACAAGCAAAAGGCGACTAACGATTTGTTGGGAATTGCATTTTGTTCAATTGTAGCAGGCAAGCGTCAAATGTTTGAGAAATGAGAGTTTAGGTTACGGCTTTTGAGGTTGTGTGCATGATTTATTATCGTAGTTTTGTTGAATTATGATTTGGATTGTTGAAAATAAATGTTTTTTTTTTATTTCATATGATTTGTGATTGATCTTAGTTTATATTAGATATCGGGTCAGGACGTGTGTTGTGGACTTGTAAAACCATCGGCCAATAATGATGAACTTTACTTTATATGATTATTTCAATGTGACGGTTGTAATTTGTATTGTTAAATTGATATTTTTTGCTAAAACGTGAAAATTTGTAAGTTAATAAAATTATTTTTTTAATTAACAATTTTGAAAACGGTTTGGTTCGGTTTAAATGAACAAAACCGCCGGTCCATGTGGATCCGAACCAACAGTTTCAAACTAACGATTTTGGTTCGATTTGCGATTTTTTTGTGTAGTCCTGGTTGTCAAACTTGTATCTTTAAATGTAAGTAATTATGTATTTTTCAAAAAGAAAAATAATAATTATTATTATTTATGTCTACATCTAGTGGATGTTTGGTGTGGATTAAAATCAGATTTTTAGTAGATTGTGATAGAAGTTTTTGAAATGTGTGAAACTCATAAAAGACGTGGTTAATTTTAATTATTTAACTTTAACATAAATTAAAATCTGATTTTAATTTGAAACAAATTGGCCTTAACCACCATATCTGATTCATCCTATCTCGATTTGAATAGTTTGAATCGGGTAACTGCCAAGGCCCAAATCAGGTCAGTTTCAAATTGGGCCAAAACCGACTCAAGTTGAATAATAAGTCAGGATCGAATCGAATCGAATCGAATCAGATGAATTAATTTAATTTTAGGAAAGTCAATTGTAGGATAGGAAAATAAAAGAATTTGGGGGTCGTAGATAAGATTAACACGTCATTCTAAATAACAATCTTTACAAATTATATTGTAAACTTTCCATCGAAATCAACGCCACGTATACTACACATGTAACAAAGACCATTGATTTCTGTCTTATCCTATTTAATCCTAAATATTAAAAGATAAAATCAATATTAAACGATAATCCAATTTCATCCGGACTCTGAACTATAACGATATTACAACAGTACCACAAAGGAGTCCAGTGCTATATAAATTCTCTTTTACTCTACCGACCCAACAATAAAATCGAGTTCAGTATAATATATTGGATTGAGGGTGAGATTCTTGGGTTTTTCAATAATCTTTGAACTTTTTCTTCCGAGGAAAAAAAAAAGTATTCTTTTTTGGCTTAGCATAATCATTGTTTGTGGTTAAAGATTTATTTTTTGTTGTGAAAATTTATGAATATTCGATTCTGTTAGTATGATTTTGCTGTTCTTCATTTAAAAAAAAAAAAGGTTCTCGTGTTTCGTTTGTTTTACTATGTAGGTACCCTTTGATTGAAAGGGTATGGAACCAAATTACTAATTTTATATGTTGCACTGAACTGTAAGTGTTTCTTGAATTTTTCAATGATCTATAAACTTTTGTTGACGAGACAAAAAAAAGGTTACTCTTTTCCTTTTTTTTTTCCTTTTGTTTTTTGCTTATCATGATTTTTTTTAGCAATTATTTGGGATTCTAAGATTTTATTTTTATCCTGAAGATTTATAAGTATTAACTGAAGGAGAAAAAGTTGGCGGTGTTAGTATGAATATGCTGATCTCTCTTTTTTTTTTTTTCCTAACTTTTTCTCCAAAATTACTAATTTATTCGTAATTCAGATTATGTTGATTGATTTTACTATTTATAGGTGATTGACATAAATCCAGGAAGCAGAGATAGTT